ACGTCCAACATTGATTCCTTCAGACGTGTCAGTTGGACAAACACGTCCATAGTGGCTCAGGTGGATATCTCGTATCTGAAAACTAGCAGTTCGTCCTGTCAATCCTCCAATATATGTATATCTATATGTATGTGCGCGCGCTTGTGTTTTGTGTGATTAGCATATGTGGAAGATGACGAGAAACATTATGAGTTAAGTTCTTGCTCATGTTAATTGCATTTCTCAAGTTTTAGGGTGGAGGCTGGTGCAGCAGTCCAGATTCATGTTCTTTTCGCCAAGGGACGCCATTAGGCTCTTCACACTACATGGGACTGCAGGTTGCATTTACTGGGATTTTAAGCCAAGTCTCATCTGAAAATCCTGGTATGTAGCGGTGATAATCCTTCAATTAAGTGTGCAAGATTAAGTTTTATTGTGAGGGTCATCTTTCTTCTCTGTATTTACTGGCGCCATCAAAGACGTGTCTTCTCATCTACTCTTGTTTATACATATGACATATCAACATACTGCATATCTGCAAAAATCATGCTGCTGTGCAACTGAGTAAGGTTGTACTTTTGTGCTTGTTGTATTTGGGATTGGAGTAGGTAATAGTCTTTGGATTTTTAGGATAGATAGCTCTGGGAGTGAAAACATGATACCGTTGAAAATTTTAGGAATTATTTTCTTTTAATGAAACATGTGATTTGCCTGTCACATAGACCAACTTTTTGTAAACAAACTTAAACAAATTAGGAGAAAACAGTACTTCCTAGAAGATAAAATGATACCAGGGTTCACTAGAATTAATGCAAAATGATACCAGGGTTCACTAGAATTAATGCTGGGCTACCATAACACTATACCGGTTGATTTCATTTGGAGAAATTTTAGTGTTCAACTTCCCATTTAAGAATGAGCCTATAGAAGTTCAGATTTGCGGCTAGTTTGGTGCGGCATACCTTTATGCAGATGGTAAATTGTAGAAAGATATAAGAGAGATTAACCCCTGTAGAAATCTATCTTGGTTCGATATGGAAGGATGTCGTTTCGTGTCCCTCCACTGATATTCTGTTAATCTTGTGGTGTTTGTACCTGGTATCTTGATTTCTAACTCTCTGTTAGACATTGGTTGACCTCTAGAACTGGAATTACTGACTAAATGCTTATATTTTCAGTATTCTGCATAATTCAAAAGAACATAACATTAGTAAGGGGATGAAGGGTTAATAATTTAACCGCTTTTAGATATTGCATCCTTGAGTTCTTAGAGTAATGGTGTTGTGGTATTATTCAACATTTGTATAATTGAATGTTTTCTAATTCACATGTTTTCTTATATCCTTCAGACTTCTATAACTGGAACAGAGTCAAGATACGGTATTGTGATGGTGCATCATTTTCTGGAGACACGGAAGTTCAAGCGAAGGTAGATATAGTGGGAGGCTGCTATCCTCTAAGTCGCTATTATTGGTGGTTCATTTTGCAACCACATCGATAACTATTTTTGGGAAAAAAGGCCACCAGTTGTTCTGAGCTAAATCATGTCTTCGATGTTGCGTAGAATGGAAGAAAACTCTTCTTCAGAGGCCAGCGGATTTGGGAAGTAATTATGGGGGAACTACTATCAGAAGGACTTGGAAAGGCTAAGCAGGTCACTCCTTTAAATTAACGGTGCAGTTCTTTTATGTATTATTATATATAATCAGATAACGACGAAACCCATCAGTAAATATGATGCCAGCTTCCGTTCCATAAAAATACTTTGTTGTGGTCCTGGTGGTTTTCACTTTTTACATTAACTGTTATATACCGTTTTCTCAAATATTATATACAATCAGATAACAATGAAATCCATTTGTAAATCTGATGCCAGCTTCCATTCCAGCAAAGCACTTTGTTGTGGACCTGGTGTTTTTCACTTTTCACACTAACTGTT